TGCATCCTTTGGTCGGTGAATTCAGATCTATTTAAAGGACTTTCAGTCAATGATATTATCAGAAATATTCACCCCTTTCTGTTTCTACCTCATCCTCAGCAAACTCCCTTGAGGCATCCCGTTTCCATCAGTGAAGGTGTGATAACCCTTAATTTTGACGGTTGTGCCTTAGGCAATCCGGGTTTTGCAGGTATTGGTGGTACAGTAAGGAACGAAAGGGGCAATATCTGCTGGACTTTTAGTGGCCCAATCGATTGGGCCGACTCCACAAAGGCTGGAGTGATGGCTGCTCTCACTGGAATCAGGATAATTAAGAATTTGGATATTCAGAATTTGATCATTGCAGGTGATTCAGCAAATACAATAAAATGGTTAAGAGACAAAAAAGGGGGCCCTTGGAGACTTTATCACTATCTGACTGAAGCTTGGGATTCTTTGGATGGATTGAATGTTAACTTAGTTTGGATTCCTAGGCAATACAATCATACTGCAGATGGCCTAGCTAAATTTGGTGTGTATTTGGAGCATTTGTATAGCGACAAGCTTCCTCCTTTGTAACTTGTAGGGGTTCCTCCCCTGTTTTGTATATCTCCTCTTGTCCCCCCCCCCTTTTATTCTCAATAAATCTTGGTTAAATTTTCTCAAAAAACCATGAATGCTCAAAATTACCCAAGTCCACAACTTATCCCTCTCACCTTCAAACCTCCACGATCATTTCCCCAACAAAGCTTCATTTTTCTTCCAAATGTTACCTAATCATAACCCTCCACCAGCACTACTTTGAGATACTATTTCCCAATCCACCCTATGATCCTTCCTCTCCTCCCCTGGTTTCCACAAGAAGTCCCTCGTCAACTTTCCAAAACCCTACTTATCTTAGAAGTGTTTTTTTTTTAGAAATGTTCTCATATTAGATTTTTTTTGTGGGAGTGAACAATAGAATACACAATACATTCGAATGAACCCCTTTCTTCCTTCTTCATTCTTACAACTGGTCTCGCCACTAGTTTTGCAAAGCACACACACATGAGGAGAGAGACGCATGTTAGGCCTTCTCTTCTGTAGCATATCACAAGTATTGATCTTTCCAAGGAACACTTCCCAACACAAAACTTGAACTTTAGAAGGGATAAGCTTACACCAAATCTCTTTCACTGGAAAGTTCACCCCCAAGGAAATAAAGTGGATAAGGAGGTTGAAAAAGGATGCACAAGAAAAGACACCATCAAAGGAGGTGGACCAAATTCTAGTGTCCTTCAAATCTTGACCCAAGAAAACCTTATCCAGTTTGGCTAATAACAAAATGAGGGAATCACATTCATTATCCCTTAAACCCTTCTTAAAACCAAAGTCCCAATTTAATCCTCAAGGGGAAGCTAAACCAAACAAAACCATATTGTTTTCAGTTCTCAAAACAAAAATAATGTTAGATAATGTTTTTGTTTTGCTGCTAACAGAGAAATTTCGAAAGCAAGTAAAAATAAAAGCATTCACATTGTCAAACACCCCCCTTAGATAGACATAAGAAGCCTACTTCTCCCATACTTTCCACACTAATATCGAAATACCATCATGTCCTAATGTCTTTCCCTTCATCTTATTCAACATCTCTTTCACTTCAATGGTTCTTTTTTTTTTTTTTTGAAAAGTGAAGATTTCATTGATATTCAGAAAATAAAAAAGATGTTGTTGAGGGAGAGGTTTCCTCCATAGCCAATTACAACATAACATAGATCATTTAATCAAAGGACATGTTATTTCGCAAAGGTACATGTTATTTATAACACTATTAGCATTAATGATCTCTACTCTCCTCCATTAGCACCCTCTACATGTTGTTCATTTAATAATTTTTCAAAATAGTTTTCCCATCTTTCCTTGATTTCTTCATCTTTTACCAAGACTCTTTGATCTTCCTCTTTAATGCACCTAACATGGTTTAAACTTCTATCTTTCCTTTCTCTCACCTTTTCTAGTTTATAAATTCCTAGTTTAGTTTACATATAATATTTGATATTATTAAAAAAAATGAAAAAAGGTAACTTAAATTTATTAACTGAAACAAAATCATACAAGTAAGCCCCAAAAGAGGAGCAACCACTGAGAACAAACTCCCAGATTACATTACACCTGCAGTCCAAGACACTAATTTTCCCACAGCGTAGGAGATAAGACAGTCTACATTCTTAGCTTTATTTTGGAATATTCTTCTGTTTCTCCCCAACCAAATGGAACTGATCACAGCTGCAGGGATGGCCCACCAGACACTTCTAGCCAGCTTAGAGAGGCCTTGCAGGTCCCAGCTCGATAGCAGATCCGAAATTTGCTTTGGCATGACCCAGGAAAGACCTTCAAAAGAAAGGAAGTGATCCCAAAGTGCTGCCAAAATAGGACAATGGATGAACAGGTGATTATTATCCTCTTCTGCTTGACCACACAGCTCACACATCATGTTCTGAATCAGGACTCCTCTTCTGGCCAGATTCTGGTTAGATAGATTTCTGTCCAAAACTATAGCCCAAAGCAAAGCATTCACTTTGAAGGGGGGAATCTGGTTCCAAATTTTAATAGCAGGAAAGTTTTCAATTCATCCACCCGCTAACCTTCTGACAGAGGAATCCACAGTGAAGCTTCCATCTGCATTCCACTTCCAGATCCAATAATCTCCAAGGGGCTCAACATCTGGTTGGAGAGCAAGCCCGGCATCTCCACCACTTCCCAGTCTTGAAAAGGTCTTCTGAAAGCAGGAATCCAGGCAAATCTATTTCCAATCACTTCACAACAATCTGCCACCCTTACCTCTTGGTTTTCTGCAAGTTGAAAAATCTGGGGGAACATCTCTTCAAGGGACCTGTTATTGCACCACTTGTCTTTCCAGAAACTCAGGCGATGCCCTAAGCCCAACTTAGGGGACAGACCATTGCAGCCATTGCGGAGAAGAGGGTAGACTTCCATTATCTTCTTCCAAAGAGAGCACCCCAGGGAAGGAAGGTTTGGCTTCGCTAACCAGTCCCCTCTACATGTTCCATACTTGACTGCAAGTAAATTCCTCCACCAACTATCTCTTTCTCTTGCAAATCTCCAAATCCATTTTCCCATTAACGCTCTATTGAAAGTTTTCAGACTCCTCACCCCCAAGCCACCTTTTTCCTTTGAGGTACAAACCTGATTCCAACTAAGCAAATGGATTTTCTTTTCCTCCTCCCAAGCTTTCCACCGGAAATCCCTCTGAAGCCTTTCTAATTTCTGAGTCACTTTAGTGGGGATTGGGAAGAGGGAGAGGAAGTAGAAGGGAAGATTAGAGAGAGAGCTTTTTAGGAGAGTGATTCTACCCCCCCCCCCCAAGGAAAGATGTTTGGCTTTCCTGGAAGCCAATTTCCTTTCTAGTCTTTCCACCACCGGTTCCCAAATTAGTGAGGAGGAGCATTTGGCCCCTAGGGGGAGGCCAATGTACATTGTCAGCAAGAAACCAACCTGACAAGCAAGAGCTTCTGCAAGGGTTTCAAGATTCTCTACCTTCCCCACTGGAATTACTTTACTCTTGGCCCAATTGACTCTCAAGCCTGTCACCACTTCAAACCAGCTCAGCACCCCAAGCATGACCCCCACTTGATCTAGATCTGCATCAATAAAACACAAGGTGTCGTCTACAAACTGAAGTTGAACTTTTTCTCCTCCTGGAGCTGACTCAAACCCTTTCCACAAACCTTCTTCGCCCACTCAGTTTACAAACAGAGACAAGATCTCCATTATACAAATAAACAGGATGCCTTAGACCTCTAGAACTCTTAAAGAAATCAGCCAGTTCTCCATTAACTAGAACTGCAAATTTGGGTGAGGAAATACATACTTTGATCCAGTTCCTCCATTTTTGACCAAAACTCGTCTTCTCCAAGACCAAATCCAAACACTTCCAGTTGACATGGTCGTGTAGGCCTTCTCCAAATCCAGTTTGCAAACCAGCCCTGATTACCTTCCCATTTCCTTGAATCTATCAGCTCATTTGCACCAGCACACTGTCTAGCATCTGTCTACCCGGCACAAATGCGAATTAGTTCTTTGCAATCACAGTTCTCAACATTGTTTTCAGTCTTTCTGCTAGAACCTTAGCTAGAATTTTATAAAAGCTATTCAGCAAACTGATGGGTCTAAAATCCTTGATGTTAGTGGCCCCTTCCACCTTAGGAATTAGAGATATGAAAGTGGAATTAAGGCTTCTTTTCAGAGCTGCAGTTGGTGGAAATCTTGAAACGCTTTCATCAAATCCTCTTTCACCACTTCCCAGCACTTTTTATAGAAAAGACTAGTTAGACCATCCGACGCCAGGGATTTATCCACTTCCATATGTTATATTATAAAAATTATAACATAAATATTATACATAAAAGGCCAACAAATTTCCATAAATTATAAATTCTATATTTAAAGTCATAGGCCCAAAAGGCCAGCATTGGTCCAGGCTTTATATTTCAGGCTTGGGGTCTGGGCCAGGCCAGGCCTAGGCTACACTCCTTATTATAGGTGCTAAGCCAGTCCATCCTGGCCCATGATCTAGATAGGGGCAATGCAGAGATCATTTGACTACTAGGTTATCCAGACCCAGATGGGGTAGGAATTTCATTCAGGGCAGAACCTTGTTTTCCCCTTGAAGGAATAAAATTATCTTAGTCTTCAGGCTGGGTTGGTTTGTTGATTAAAGGGGAATGCCAAGAAGTGGTTAGTTGGTTTGTTTCAAGGGCAGAAGGCCCTTGCCCCTTAGAAAGATGATTAGGGACTCAAAGGTTTTGGCTTCCACCATTTACTCTATGTGTATGTAAAAGAATTACATTACAATTTAAAGTGCCAGGCACCCTCTTTAGTTAGCCTTGGTAAATCACAATGTATATATTGGACAAAAGAGAAAAAGTTAGTCAACAACAGAACATTCTTGAAAATAACTTAAGACTAATCAATATTTTTGTATGAATTAAATAAATCAAATGGAAAAACAATGGAATACCACGAGTTGCTGCATCTAAATAATCTCTATCAGGCTTAGCTGGAGAACTTTCTGAAGCCTCAGTAACCAATCTTAATGATTTGTTATCTATTATCCTGTCAGAGTACACAGAAAGCTATATAAGGAAACTAGTGGAGCTAATACATGATAAGGATAACCATAAGAAAAAGAAAAATAGAAAAATAAAAATTTCAGGGGCAGGTACACAAACTACATTATTTTGATTACCTCAAATAGTTCAAAATCAAGGTAATATTCAAATGAAAGTGCTTACACTAACATTGAATTGAAATGGAAACACCAATGTTGCATAGATTGTTTTAAATGAATGATGTATCCAACAGTCCAACACAAACACACATCAAAATCTGACACTCCACAGACACTTAAGGACACTTCTACATATCATTTCCTTTTTATCTCCTAGTTTATTTGACATAAATGAACAAATAATGTACAAGATGAATGCCATTTTCATATCAAAAGTTACTTAGTAATAAAGCAACATTTTAGACCCTTTTGCAGGTATGTTAGAATTTAAAAATATGAGCTATTTTAATAGTATATACTTTTCCATAGACATGTCCATGGGTCCATGTTTTCTCATCTTACAAAGTCAGTTGACATGTGTTGGATTCTGACTCGTGTCCCCTATCATGCAACACTGGGATTAACATAGGCATTAAAACGTTAACTGATTATAGTAACTCCAGAAAAAGGAAGAAGAAGAAGAAGAAGAAGAAGAAGAAGAAGAAGAAGAAATGTTTTGACATAGCAAAGCTCAATTTTATAAACCAAAGAACAACAATCATATAGACTATAGGGAACCAGCACGGTAGGCCACAGGAGGTTCCAGGCCCTCCCAGGCTGCACCCCTACTCTCTCTCGTTAAGTTCAAGTAACTCTAATAGTAGTCAAAGTGGTGTCTTGCACTCTTGCTGATATATTCTTTCTATCATTTTCTTTTCTAAATCTCAATGAATTGATAAAAGAAATATCAATAGAAAGTTAATGATCACCAATACCCACAATAATTTGTGGGCGTGAAATTTAAGAAAATGTTCTATCAATGAAAGAGAAGCTTACCCTAGTCCAAGAGGATCTATACATTCCATGCCACGAGCAAAAGACTGTAAACTGTTAAGCCCTTTCTGACCCAAGGTTGATCCCTTCCTCTCCAAGCTTTGAGCTACTGGGACTGCTTTTGTTTCTCGCATCTCACGAACCCTACGGGCAAGCTGTCATAAAGGCAATGGAATCAATATTTCATCCTTTGACATATATTATATATAGAAAACAAAAAATGGAAAGGTGGAGTGGGCCATAAAACACTAAAATGTGTAACAAAACCTCAGTAAATACAGAATATAAAGAGTAAAAAAATTTAATACCTAGAAGATGTCACTTCTGAGCCCTACTGCTTGATCTTTTTTCCCCAAACTGGTAACTAATGTAGTTATAAAAGAATTTGCAAACCAACAATAATAGAACAAGAAGGTGAAGGAGCTAAAATAATAGAAGGTCGTTATAACAAACCAACAAAAATTATGGAATCCCTCCTTGGCACGTTTACTATTCATTTGACCCCATCAACCATTAAGGGAAAGAGATAACACAATAACTACATCTTTATTGAAGCTTGGTTCAATCAAATATAGCTGCTTGTCAAAATAAAGGAAGTAATTCAACCTCCTTCCACCACAATCAATTTGGAGAGAAGTTACTTGAGAGAAAGCTAACATCTGAACTTGTCCAAAAGTTTAAAACCTCAGAATTGGCATATGAAAGAAATTCATCTTTCAGCACACATGCCACAATTTCTTACTAACAAACCAAAAACCAAAGTTTACTCACACAGTCCTTGAAGATATTTTCCATTCCCCACAACTCTTTCATCACAAAATTCTAGCCAGCCTTGAGGAAAAAGAAAAGAATACAAGAAATAAAACAAGAATTACAAGAACCAGTCCTTCCCAAAGTTGACTCTGTTTATCCCATTGAATTATCCAAATGCTAAAATGCAACCAATAAAGATAGGGGTGTTCATTATATGGTCTAAACTGCAAAACTGCACCGAACCAAACCATAATTGGCAGTTTGGCCTTGAAACAGTTTGGTTTGGTTTGGGAATTTCTCAAACCGTAAACCATATTAAACCGAATTATTAATAATATATTTATTAATGTATATAATATATATAATGCATATGTTTAAACATATCTATGTATGTATTCATTTAGCATTTCATACATTATTGTTGTTTGTTTCAATTTTTAACTTGTAATTTGATGCCCAAGGAGTTGTTTATGGCTGAGAAGTGTGAATGTAATTTATATAATAGTAATAAGTGACATTTGTTAACATTTCAATTTGATATTTGAATTACATTTGTTATTTATGTAGGTATGCATGCTATTTAGGCTTTCTAATTGGGTTAAGCCCAATAGAATGGCCCAAACCGTATTAGAAACCAGACCAAACCATACGGTTTGATTTCTATACTAAAACTGTTCAGTTTGATTTGAGGATTTCTCAAACCGTAACTTACTGGTTTGGTCTGAGATCTTCTCCAAACCGGACCATGAACAGCCCTAAATAAAGAAGAACCCAGTAAAACAAAAACACATGGGAGTTCTCCACTCTCACTTGAAATAGTATTCCTCTCCTTTCAAAGTCCCCAAAAGATGGCAAATGACCATAAATAAGCAATTAGGACTTTAGCTACTATAATGTCCTCCACTCTACTTCCCTTGTCAAAACTACAGCAACTCCAATCCTTTCAAATCAACCAATAAACCATGAAGGGGCAGAGGAGGTTCCAAAGGTTTCACCCTCTATAACTACAGCCTTGTTCTAGTCAAGAAAGAATCAATCAACAAGGTTCCTGGAATATCTAGGCTCAATATCAGACTCCACCCAAAAGTGATATCGCATTTTAAATGATTTGAGATGCTAAAGTCAGTTAATTGTCCTTACATTTACCTGATGTTGAAGGTCAATTGTAATTCAGTCAACCATCTCTTCACCCACTTGGCAACTACACCCAAGATCTGCTCCCACTTCTCAAGACTTCTTGATGTGAACTAGGCATCTCTCAGTGATATTTGTGAGTTATAGATATAGACTTGGTATGGTGAACCACTGTAAGATCTTAAGAATACTCTGAGTCCCTGACCATGACCATCAGTCTATGAACATTTAGAATGAGAAGAATTCCAAAGACCTCAAAGATTTTTGTTTGATGAAGAAGGAAATTTTATTAAGAGTGTTAGAGAATAAAACCTATTCAAAGACCTCACTTAAAAGCTTAAGCTTTTAGGTTGAATAGATTTCTTGTCACCCCCGTTATAATTAATTAAGTTTCAGCACAAGGTATGGGTGGGCCTGTGCTGTCCACACTTCAAGCCCAATGGGCTTTCGTGTGAGGGGGCATGTTAGAGAATAAAACCTATTCAAGGACCTCACTTAAAAGCTGAAGCTTTTAGGTTGAATGGTTCTTTGAGAAAGAGAAAATAGGAAAATACGACCAAGTGGCAAGAAGTCATCAGAAAAAAGGAAACAGCATAGAGCTAAAACTCCCTACTAAGGAGGGCCAGAAACAGAAAAGGCAAAAAAATGACAACACAGACATCAAAAACCACCATTTATACCAACACCACTGCCCTACCTCCCATCCAAAGAAAAGAAATTCTTCCAATATGGTTCATCTAGCCTCAACACCCTCCCAATAACCTCCCTTTTTTCTGAGTAGTAAAGGTAAATATTATTAAACAATATATCAAACTTGAGGTTACAAATGTGTGGGTAAGTTACCCACACCCATAGAGATAATCAAATACAACTAGACACTTCAGTCCCCATACCCAGCCTTACAATTTAGCCCAAAATAACTGCTGCCTATTTGCCCCCTGTTTAGCTAAAGAATCTGCAATGCCATTTGCAGTTCTTCTCACCCATTTAAAAGTAACATTTAATTCCCTTGTTAAGCTTTCAATTTCCCTGATCCCGTGCCATTAAACCCAAGGAATTTGTCTGTGAAATTGTGTCCAGGAAATTACCACCTGAGAGTCCCCTTCCACTTATAGCAACTGAAACCCAAACTGCTTTGCAAGTTTCAGCCCTTGAAGTAGAGCCAATAATTATGCTGTTGCTGTCAGTGGATCTCCTCTTTTTTTCAGATCAATAACAAATAGCTTCATTGAATTTCAATTAAAAAGAGAATACATACAATCAGAGGGAGGTAAACTGTCTTAACTCCCCCACAAGCAAAGTAAAAAAACAGAATTAGAAATAAGACCAAAACAAAGAATCTCCATTCACCCCTTGCTTAGCTAGCCACTCAGCAAAGGAATTAGCAGATCTCTTCACCCAGCTGTATTTTATCTCAATATCCTTAGCCAGCCATTTTAACTTTTTCCTTTCATTGCTGTAGTTCCACAATTCAGGCTTTTCTTCCTTTAACCATCTTACCACCACCTCCAAATCACCTTCAGTAATCAGCCTCCTAATGTTCAAGTCCCTTGCTCTTTGGATTCCCTCATTGGCCCATATATCTCGGCCCTGAGAGAGTCACCCTCTCCAATTGGGCCAGAGAACAAAGCTAAAGCATTCCCTTCCTCATTTCTGAAGACACCCCCAATACCTGACTTCCCTGGATTCCCAATGCTACTGCCATCAAAATTCAGTTTTATGAAACTAGTGGGAGGAGAGATCCAAGGACTTGTGACCCTCTTAATCTGGGCAGAATTTGCTATTCCTTTACAGTTTCTCAGCAGATCATCAAGGTAAAGTCTGTGAATAGGTCCAAGGATTTCATCTGTTCATCTCCAGTCCTCTTCTAAAACACTCCTCCAGATTATTGTGACTATGTGAGACAACTATTTCTGGGAGAAAGATGTTATGATGAACGAATGGCAAGATGGGAAGTGATCAGTTTGAGAAGAAAGGAACAATAGGATCTTTAAAGGAGTGGAGAAATCCAAGGAGGAAATTGTAGAAAGGATAATCATTATGACTATTCAATGGTTGAAAACTTTGGATTTCTTTAAAGACTTCTCAGCTGAAGACATTTATAGGAATTGGGAAGCGGTGGCATCTACAACTTCCATAAAACCTACTATACAGGAATTGTGGTCCCCACCAACACAACAAAGAGTGAAACTGAACTTCGATGGGAGTTCTAGAGGTAACTCGGGCCCTTCAGGTATAGGAGTATTCAGAGATGAAAATGGCAGAATTGTGGCTATGTTTTCAGGACCAATAGGAGTGTAGGAATCATTGAGAGCAGAGGTGATGGCCTTGCTTCAAGGTGTAAGATATGCCAAACAGTTGAGGTTACACCAAATTGGGATAGAGGGAGACTCTAAATTGTTGATTGAGTGGCTGCAATCGGGTAAGTTGGGAGCCTGGATTTATAGACAGCCCATAAGGGAAATCCTCAACACAACAAGGGAGATCGGTGCATGCTTCAAATGGACAAGGAGATCAGCTAATGATTTAGCCGACACGTTGGCTAAACAAAGGACTGTGAGGGAGAGAATGTTCTAGGCAGTTTTGTAAGAAAGATTATTGGGGGCTCAACACCTGTTTAGGGGTTGACAGCTGTACTTAACTCTAGAAAGCTATTTTTAAGTTGTATTAATGAAGTTACTGTTTCCAATCAAAAAAAAATGGCAATGGGGAAGAACAAAACTAGAATGAGTATATCCATGGAAAATTTCAAGTATCTCCAATAGAATGATTGAATAAGGGAAAATAGACTACATATTTTTTGTAGTACACGAGGATGGAGGATTTCGCATCAGCAAGAAGATGGAGAAGAACCCTTGGGGAGCTTCTAGGAGTGTAGTAACCTTGTGGAATGAAGATTCAATGGAGTGTGTAGAGGAACTGACAGGCAAATTCTCTGTCTTTGTTAAACTGAGAAGTGTGGCTGATAATTTCATGTGGTTATTGACAAATGTCTACCGGTCAAATTCATATAGGGGGAGGAATGAGTTTTGGGAAGAATTGGCAGACACAAGAGGTCTATGGCAAGGCCCATAGTGCATGGGCAGGGACTTTAATGTCATCAGATTTACTGAAGAATCCAACAACCCAAGACAACGAATTACTACAAGCATGAGGAATTTTAATGGTTTCATTGAAGCGTTCGAGCTTAAAGAAGTTGGATTGGGGCAGATTAGATACACCTGGTCAAACTGCCAAGAGAACCCCATTTGTTCAAGATTGGACAGAT